GATTTATTCCATGTATTTGTGTTTGTGACTTGCAAAATAATGTTCTCCAAATACATGTAGAACTTGATTAATAGTAAATACATATGTGTTTAAAATTGCTAATTTCTCCTCTTTTTGTGAGTTATTTAGCGGTCGGATTTGGTCGTTAAGGACCGCCAACAAGCACACAATTCTGGCCTAGTATTCCATAGCACACATCTTTTGCACTCATAGGTAGAATGATTATTATATCCACAGATTTCACACTGAATCCTTCTACAGTCCGTAGTAAAGTGATTAAACATACCACAATTCTCACAAGCAATCCTATTCTAAGCATTAGTCTCAAGATTAGCAAGATTCTGAGACATCTCATTAGCACCTTGCTTGGGATTACCTTGGTTTACTTCTGGCTGACTACTCTGATCTTCAGGCCCTCCAGAAGTTTGCTTGTCACTTGCTTTTTCAGCTGCTTGTTCCCATTTCTCATTGGTGTTCTCTAGAACATGGGGAGCATCTTCAACTCCTTGTCAGCATCGATATGATGAACCCAACGGTCCTAGGTGTTACGGCCCCTTCCACCACCACTAGGGCCACCTCTCCCTAGGCCACGACCTTGCCCCTCGGGACCCCTGCCCTATCCACGGCTACCTCCTCCCCATCAAAACCCACCGAAGTTCTTGAGGCCACCACCCTGATTCATCTTGACACGAACAGTCTGAGCGAACTCAGTCTTCATAGCGGCTACAAATGATTTGGAAGAAGCTCCTCTCCACAGATCGATGGGAGGCGAGCGGTGGAATTGGGGAAAGTGATTGGGGAGCCCAATTAGGGTTAGGCAAACCCCCAATCTGAGTCTAGGATGGATCCTAGATGCCAAGCTATGAACTCAAAGCCCTTGAGCGGTGACCTGACCTACCTTCATCTATAATCTCCTGCTTACCCTCCCCTAGATGAGCGACGCGTGGCTCAGTTGATGGCGCCCGCCCTAGGATCCCTAGGACAATCTGCACTTTTGGAGGTAACCGGAACCAAGGTCGCTGACGTGTAGGTCCCTTGTTACCAGCTCCATTTGACTTCTGCAGACCACCTCCCACCATTAGAGGTGGTTCCTCTGCTCCGCCATGAGAGGTCCAGTGTAAACTGATTGGAATAAACTTCAGCTTCACCTCTTCTCTCCCATCTCATTGAATAGGATGAACTCCCACTCCGATCTCCGCGTAAAACGACGCGCTGAGAGATCAATTGGAAAATCCACACCTCTGGGCTTGCAGCGGTGGTGCGAACCCTCCTCAATCGTCGGGAACGATGCCACAAAACTCGTCGAGGGCTTGCTCCCTTCCCCAATCCTTCTCCGCTCCCAACTCCATGGGGGCTTCTGTCCCGGATCGGTCTCCAAACTCAAGCAGGAAGTCACCGGAGGGGGATGAGAGGGATGGGAGGATGCCGGCAACAATGGCGCTGGTGGCACGCCAAGCGGCGCTACGGGAGAGGAGACGGTTACGGGAGACATCTCCTCTCTGAGTCTCTCTGAGTTTTATCTAATCCTATTCATCTAACGAAAAAAATCATTTTACTCCTGTAGTGTACTCCTCTATCAAAATATCACATAAAGGTTCATGCTAGTCATTTAAAAAAAAATAACTAGATTTTTACAAAAATATTAACCACTTTTGTATCTCTAAGTAAATTTATTATATAAATATATTCCGTGATTAATCTAATTATACTAATTATATAACATAAATATTAATATTTGTTTGAACATATTTGGTTAAAGTTAAAGGTAATAATGCCAATCTTTGTGTGACAGAGGTAGTATTGTTGTAGTTTGTTTTTCCTTCTCAAACTCTAAAATCAGATATCTTACCACTAAACTTTTAAAATCATTTAAATTAACTATATGTTTGTTTTGAAGTGATTTTAAAGCGGTTTTATTACATTTCTTGTTAAAAAATGGTAAATACATGACAAGATATTTAAACCGTTCAAAATGTTTCTAAATTTTCACAAATTATGGGGAAAATGGTAAATAGTTTTGAATACCAAGAATCCAAATAAAATATTTAGAGACCATGAATATATATATATATATATATATATACACACACGCGCGTGCTATTCTACACCCTACACCAAGCTGTGATACTGAATAAAATTCAGTACTGTTCAGTAGTCGTGTTTTAGTATTATTCAGTATTTCAGGATACTAGGTGTTGTACTGACTAATATTGAACACGGTTCAGTACTACTCAGTATTTTTTCTGGTCAGTTTTAACTTGCGGTGTAGAATAATATTCTACACCTAGGGTATATAAAATACACCTAGGGTATATTCCTGGGAGTAATTACTCTCATAATTAATAAATCACATTGCATATGTGTACATACTCATTTATTAGTTTAAGTATGTTGACATACTAATATTAAGATACTCTAGATTTTTATTATGTAAAAAAAATTCAAAAGAGTACATATTTTTTAATATATTATATAATACTATGATATTAGTGTATAAAATAAGTATAACCATATACTCTAAGTATACATACATACTTGTCATATATTGTATCCTAGATGGTCTAGTATGATGATATACTCTATCTAGATATACTTCGTCGGGTTATATATACCATAAATATATAGATATACACATGGAATAACTACTCTCTAGAGTATGAAATAATTTCCATATATATATTGAAAATATTGGTATGCGGATGGGTGTAGCTGCGCACAGTGTTATTTAACACTGTGCTGCTGGCTGGCCCTATTCCGATTGTTTGAGCAGCTAATCCACCTGAGCGTGCCGTACCTTTCTGACACTGAAACCCTGCAGTATTGCTGCCTGCCTGCCCGAACAGGAGCAAAGCGGCGTCCTTTGTCAGGGCAACTTGTACGTTTCTAGGCCTGATTTAGATTGTAAATTTTTATAATATCCGATCATAGATTAACTAGGTTCAAAAGATTCGTCTCGTAATTTACAACTAAACTGTGTAATTAATTATTTTTTTATCTATATTTAATGTTTTATGCATGCATCCAAATATTGATGTGACAAAAAAAAGAGTAAAAAAACTTAGAATTTAAAGATGATCTAAACAAAGCCCTAGGAGGAAGAGAGAGAAACGAGAGAACGGAAGAGAGAGGGGCAGCAGTACCTCGGAGCCGTCTCTCCTCGCCACAGCGCCCCACTCCCCGGCTAGTGCTCGCTCGCCGGCGGCCTGCTTACACACCGGATTCACCCGCCGGTGGCCGAGGTCGCAGCTCGGAGCAAGACGTGCCGCGAGCCTTGGCCCCGAACTCCGCCGCGGTGAGCACCGCGCTTCCCGACGTCGCGAGGCGCCGACCTCGCTGCTCGCGCTTGCTCCAGATCCGCCCGAGGGTGGCCGAGGTCGCCACCGCGCGCCGCTGCTTGCGCCGTGCCGTCACGTAGGATGGCCGCGCTCGCCCCCGCGCCGTCGCCGCGGGTGTAGAGCTCGCTCCCGCGTGCCGCACGGGCCACAGCCCCCGCCGTGGTCGCGAGGCTCGTTTTGGTCGCCGGTCCCGCCTGCACCCCCTCCTCCCGTGCCGACTGGTCTCCGCGAGCGGTGACTCGCTTCGCCCGGCCGACGGACGCCCATGGCCCTCGCGGCCACGCCCGACGCCCGGCTGGTGGCCGCCCGTCTCGGCGCCTCCGGCGTCCGGCCAGGCGCCCCCTGCCTTAGCCGGGCCGCTACCGGCCTACCGCGGGGTGCGGCGTGCTCCGGCCTCCACCTGCGATATGTGCCTGCCCCTACACCGGAACCTGGAGAGGCTGGCCGCCGCCGGCTCGCCACCCCCTCCCTCGTCTCCGGCATCACAGCAGCCGGCGCGGTGCGCGTCCACGCTGGGCGGTCGGCGGACGTCGTGGCCCAACCCCGCGTCCACGCCGCGCGAGCGGCCAGAGCGCCCCTGGCCCGTGGCAAGCAGACACTAGCCCGACGCGCCCCCCGCGTGTCTTGCGTGCGGGCCGCGCCCACTATCGCCGGTGGCCTCGCCTGGTGCAGGGCAGCTGCCGTCGGGGGCCTCTCCCAGCGCGAGGGCAGCACCCCGGGCATCATCCGGTGCAGGGGCCGTGGCCGCCCTCGTCCGACACAGGAGCAGTGCCGGGCGGTGGGGTGCCTGCTCCTGGTTCTGCACTGCTAGTGCTACATGTGGACCTGGCCGCGACTGGCATGTTCATCGAGCTCTGCCTCTGCGCCGGCAGCCCGTCATGACTACTGTGTGCGAGGCTGCTTGCGCCGAAGGCAATCTCGAATCATCTGTACCTCTGCTACGTGGTGGCCAACGCCGTCGTGTACCGCCGCTACGTGGGCGACCCCTGCCTCGGCTCCGGCTCGGGCCAAAGGAGAGCGTGGCCGGCGCTGGCGTTCATCTGGGCCTTCTCCCTCATCGCGCTCTCCTTCACCCTGCTGTGGTAGTTCGCGCCGGGGGGCGCGGCCAAGGCCGGGCTCCTGTCCGGGACCGCGGCGGCCGCCGTCGCCGCGGTCGAGGCGCTGGTGCCGCAGGCGCGCGAGCCCGTGCTGTGGCTTTGTGGGGCGTGCCGGAATGCCCTAGGTGCCCGCCGCATCCGTCTTCCTCAACGTCTTCCTGCTCGGCTCGCTCGACCGCCAGTCGTACGTCCGGTTCGGATTCTTCTCGACCTTCGCCGTGCTGGTCTACGTGCTCTACAGGGTGCACGGCAGCTACGACGCCGTGGAGGGCGGCGGCGACAAGCTGCAGGACCAAGGGTGCGTGGTGTAGCAGAGTCGTTGACGTTGGCAGACAGCGCATCCATGGAGGTCGAGCACGGCGTGGAGGGCCAGACCACGCCCCCAGCTGTCTGTGCGTTGCAGGAGGAGGCGTTCCACCACCATTACCAGCAGCAGCACCAGTGGCCGGCGCAGCACTGCGTTGCGTCGCCGCAGCCGCAGTTCCCGGCCGCGAGCTACCAGCAAGCCCTGTCACGTGGTCGTGGTGACGGCCTGACGGCGCGAACCAGAGCAGGATGGACACGGTAGTCTAGTGATTAGGATCTCGGACGGCATGCAGACGGCGCATTGGCTTTCTCATCCACTCCGACGAGGTACGGACAGATACGTTTCCAAGCTTGTGTATCCTGATTTTTGGTTGGACGGCGTTGTCTTTTGCTCTGTATGTTTTTTTGCCTGTGTCCTCCGAGTTTTTTTTTCCTATGTCCTCCGAGCTTTCAGAGTTTATCTACTGATGTGGATCTGGCTCTACGTTCTACCATCCTCTCCTGTTCTCGCGCTTGGCTTATTTGGTGAGCGGTGTGGGTTTTTTTTTTTTTTTTTTTTTGCCTTAGGTGCTGTTTGAATTTTTTGTGCGTTCTTTCCATTTGTATCCGATTGGTGGCCGGTCGTGCTCTTTCTCTGCTCATCGTTGCCAGCTGATGCGATTCTTACATGGCTCGCCAGGCTATTGTTTTTCTGTTTACCTACCCTGTAGATCAGCAGTCTATTCTTATTTTTTCGTCTTCCAGAAAGTCTAAGTTTCTTTATCAGAAATGTTATATAACACACGTGTGTTTTAATAAAAAAAACACATTAATTTTTTTAACAGAACACACGGACCAGCAGACTGCCTCACTGTCGGCCAGGGGAACACGACGTGATGACCCATGACGAACGGTGGAGGCTGTAATTTGTCTTTTCATAGAAAAAAAATTGTTTTCTGTGATATGTGATTTATGATCTATGGATCTGTGATCTTGTGATTGTCTGAAGGTAGAAGAAGGTGGAGGCTGTTGGATCTTAATCTTATGGTATGTGTTGGAATTGTATAAAATACATGATTGTCCAGTAGATAGACTCTTTTATATATATACTTTGATTGTTTTCCGAAGGTTAGCCGCATGTCGTCAATTATTGAATCACATGCTTCATTATTGTGGTTATCTTGTGCAGTTACTCGTAAGCAGTTCAGGTCGGTAGACCATCAGCCTGTTCGGGATGCCGTATCGTATCGTGGATTATTTACTGCTGGCTGGTTTGGTGTGAGAGAAAAACACTGTTCCTAGCTGGAAATTTACGATCGTTTACGAGCAAGCGAACAGGCTGCATACTTTCAGTGTTATAACTTCTGATGTACCCTTCGATATGTTTGTTTCAAATGCAATATCTAAACATATATACTTGCATATTACTCCTTGTCTGGAGCTGCATGGTACTAGGTGCCATCTGTTTGGTGACTTGTTGTGGCTCTATGAACTGTTAACTATGATGGTTGGCGTTCATTTCAGGTCCACAAGCAAGGAATCGCACTTGGCAGGTCCTTTTGGATGTTACAAATTTCAGTGGCTACACAGATTTGATTGCTGAGCTGGATTAACAAGGAATGGGTGGTTGTCTACACTGACAATGAAGGTGATATGATGCTGGTTGGGGATGTCCTCTGGAAGTGAGTAGCTGTTGAATATTCTCCTGGTTTTCTTGGTCGATATATATTTGAAGCCAAAATCTTGATTCGCCACTGTTTGACTGGACACTGGACAGTGAGTTCTGCAACATAGACACATACTAGGGTCTTGTTTAGATAGCTGTTAGGAAAGCACTGTAGCACTTTCGTTTGTATTTAATAATTATTATCCAATTATGGCCTAACTAGTCTCAAAAGATTCGTCTTGTAATTTACAATCAAACTATGTAATTAGTTATTTTTTATCTACATTTAATACTTCATGTATGTGTCCAAAGATTTAATGTGATGGAAAGAGAGTAAAAAAACTTGGAATCTAAACAGGGCCTAGCTGAACCCGAGTGGCGGAAAAAGACGTCTGAAAAACACACGGTACAAATCACATGGGTGAACAGTACCGAATGTCTGAAATTTGTACTGGCTCAGACTCCACATGCTTTTTCAAAACAGTTAATTACGTTAGGCTACCACTAATTGGTACGAGTCATGGGCATCATCGTTAACAAGTATGTGTATCTCGATGCACATCGGACGACAGGTGGTGGGTGAGCAGCTACACACGTAAACATAAAATCCACGCCCTATATAGCAAAACAATTTATTTTGCTCTAAGAAAACGAGAAAAATTATCTAGAAACATCTAGAAAGTTCTCAAAACATTTTAATCAATGTCTAAACATGTTTTAAAAACTTTTCATGGCAAAATATAAATTCTCAACAAGCATGGATGCAACATACATCAATGTTGAATGCATCCGTGCTATGCATTCATTTGGTTGTGCCTTATGTCTTTTTGTGTAAAGTCGGTATGCATGCGTGTATATGAGTTCTACTAGTGACTAGTAAGGATCGAGAGGAACAAGAAATTTTTTAGCTCAAACTACAAAAAATCATGTCCTCGTCGCTACTGGCTTCTTCCCCTTTCCCAAGCAATTCTTCCCCATTCGTCCTTTGTGCTAACAATTGGTATGAGACTTTTCTTCTGATCCTGGCGTCCGATCCACAGCTAGACCATTTCACACGACTCTAGAGTGCTCATGATGTGATGGATCTTAATCTCAAGCTTGTTCTCGCGAGCTCGGTCGTTGCTTCGACGACCATGACGCCATGTTGGAGCGACGATTCACGAACCTCGACTGCGACTGTGTCACCCGTGATTCCCCCGTCGACAAGAGCCTGGAGACGTTGGAGACGACCTGCACTGATTTGGAGTCGCTCCACATCGACCACGTCAATGACGAGACCGACAAAAAGCATCGCCAAAAAATCTTACTTAACCAAAGGAAGCACAACACCATCAAATGATGCCATAATGGAAATTAGGAAGCACAACATGTTCAAAATTAGAATTAGTGGAGGTAGCCTACTGCAGGTGTTGGAGATGAAGCCTCTGGGCTAGAACTAAAATACCGAGACACGTCTTGCTAGAATACATACATCGGCACCGGCCTAGTGGAATTTTCCAAACGTGTACTGAACTAAAAAATGCATGTATCACAATTCTGAAAGTCATCTAGTCAAACTTGACCTGTGTTATCAGTAAAGTGTAATGACAGAACAGCGAGGAGTTCCTCCATTAGCTAGTACACCAAAGATAACTTACATTCCTGAGCACATGCTGATGCAAAAAATACAAATCCATACCTTGCAATGCCAAGCAATGAATGTCCTACATATTTTGTTGTTAATCAACTACATAACATCGCTGCCTCTTATATTTTCAATTGTGTAGAATAAAACCAAACCAAACATCTGCTTGTAAAAAAACAGTTGGTGAATAGATAAAATCCAGAATCAGCAGGGTGGGGATCGATACGCACGGCTATAGCAGAGAACCAAATATTTGGATGTTTTTTTGCCTGAATGCTGCTATACTGGAACAGTAGGATTAGGTGTTCTGAAAGGCCACATTGCAATTAATGAACATACTTTAATCAAATACCAGGAATCCAGTGGCCAAAAAGTTAGCCAAATTTGCTATCAGTAAATAGCGTATTGCAAATCAGCTAAAGAGGCGGCGCCGGGAATACAAATCAGGAACCAGGAATCAATTCAAGGCCTTGTTTAGATGCCATCTAAATTCCAAGTTTTTTCACTCTCTCTCCATCACATCAATTTTTAGCCACTTGTATGGAGTATTAAATGTAGGTAAAAAAATAACTAATTACACAGTTTAGTTGGAAATCACGAGATGAATCTTTTGAGCCTAGTTGGTCCACGATTGGACAATATTTGCCAAATAAGACGAAAATGGTACTATTCATCGGGTTCAAAAAATTTGCAAAGTGAACTAGGCCCAAATAGTATTTATTTCATATGAAGTCCTTCAAGCAACAGTAAAATTCATAATTGAAGCGTCCATAAAGAATAGGGTAAAAAATTACCTTTGATCAGAAGAAACAATTTCTTGAGTTGCAAATCAGCTTTTTCTTTCTAGCCTCTTTATCTGATCTGATAAAAACATGTTGTCAACAATCAATTTATTCTGAAAAGCAGGTTGGTACGATCACAAATGGTATAGGACTGCTTGAATCACAAAAGCACATCTCGTATAGGCTGCAACTATCAATTTTGTGGTTGTAACCGATTGGAGACAACTATGTTGTATCAATAACTATTTCATGAACTTCAGCTAATACGAAAAGGCATTGCATAACCTAATGGTAGTGGAAGGCAACTGCAGACTCATAACATGAACTTTCAGGCTATGAAACAAGAGATCAAAACAAAGGGAGAAAAAAGAGAGGGTGTCAGCGCCATGCAAATCGTTTGTCTATCTGCTGAGACAATCTATGATTATCCACATAAACGTTATGGAGCCACTGTGCATTGCTCTTTTAGGCACCTGAAATTTAGTGTATCTAAAAAAATATTCTCTCTTCATATTCAGGTTTCAGGTTTGTGGTTACATATTTCATCTCAGGAAGCACCACAGGTTTAGATCACGTCTCAGTAGGTTTCGGTGATAAATTGTGGATCCGACAACCAAATACTCAACATCATATAATTTCACATCCGCCAAAACAATGCATCATAAATAGTCAAGCTGTACTATGGCTAATTTCACAAAATTACTACCAAAATCAGAAGTACCTTGGGAGCTAGATTTCAGTTCCACAGCTCCATCGTGTTCGAGAAAAAAAAAGTTCCACAGCTCCATACTTCCCCGGTTCCCTTATTTAGTACCTGTGTAATGGACAAAAACTGGCAGTAGTAACCAAAGCCCAAATGCTTGGGTATGTAAACCAATACGTAGCGAGGTTAATTAAATCAGATGGGCTAATTTATGACCAAATGCAAGAGGAAACATTATGAACACCCAAATGAATTCTTGTCACAAATAAAATTGTCGTGCCCCAGCAATCATCGCATCACACGGCAGCAGGACCGCCATGTGTGATGCTCTTTTCCCGCGGCCACCGCGTGCGTGGAACAACCCACAAACATCTTAATTCTCATTGTTCTAGAGCAGGGATATCAAAGTTAACACACAAGGATCAGGTGCAGTTTGCCACATCACCTGGGCGATACTCTGGTTCCCTGCTAGGAGCTTCCATTCATGTTCGATGCCAACTACAGCTTT